AAAAAAAAAAAGGTACTTAAGGCCAGACATGGTGGTTTATTGCTGTAACCCTAGCACTCTGGGAGACTTAGGCAGGATGATTGCTTGAGTTCAGGAGTTCAAGACCAGCCTGAGCAAGAGCAAGACCCCTTCTCTTCTAAAATTAGAAAAAATTAGCTGCTAGTTGTGGCAGGTGCCAGTAGTCCCAGATACTCAGGAGGCTGAGACAGGAGGATTGCCTGAACCCAGGAGGAGGAGGTTACTATGAGCTAGGCTGGCATCATGGCACTCTAGCCTGAAACAACAGAGTAAGATACTGCCTCCAAAAAAAAGAAAAACATGGCACCCAAAGAAAAAATTTTCTTAAAAGTTCACGTATGAGGAAAATATTATGTGTATTTATCACAGAAGTATTTTCTAAATCATATTTTGTATTCTCCAAATATAGTGATTCAGATAATATACACCAGGGCCCATGGTCTATAATACTAGTTTTTAAGTATGCAAATTCTGGCCCAGGGAGGTGAGGGCTTGTATCTGTAATCTTAGTACTCTGTGAGGGCCAGGCAGGAGGATCACTTGAGCTTAGGAGTTTGAGGTTGCAGTGAGTTGTGATGACGCCACTGTAGCCAGAGTGACAGAGCCAGGATCTTGTCTCCCCTGCGTCCTACAAAAAAAAAAAAAATAATAATTTTTTTAAAAAGTATACAAATCCCAAGTAGCTAAGATTTCTAAATAGCATAAAGGCCTTTTAGCCTCTATTAGTTTTTTTTTAAACATTTGAAACTTGTTTTTTTGTGACAGTCTCACTCTGTTGCCCAGGCTAGAATACCATGGTGTCAGTCTAGCTCACAGCAACCTCAAATTCTTGGGTTCAAGCAATCATCTGGCCTCAGCCTCCCCAGTAGTTGGGACTACAGGCTCCCACCGTAATGTCCAACTAATTTTTTTCTAGTTTTTTTAGTAGAAATGTTATCTTGCTCTTGTTCAGGCTGGTTTCGAACTCCTGAGCTCAAGGGATCCTCCTACATTGGCTGAGTGCCATGATTAGTTTTCTTCTTTTGAAGACAAAAAATAAAAATGAAAATTCTTTTCAATGTGAAAATATTTAGCTATATTAAAGTTTTTTCTAAGTCTTTATAATGATTTCTTTAAATATAATTTATATTTTATAATTAGAAAAAATTTTTTTAGGTTTAAAAAATAGCAAAGCTATATTTTTCTCAGGTGTTCCTAACCAAAGTGTTTTTAAGCAGCATTGAAAAATGGCATTGTCCTTTCTTTTAGCAAAATGCAAATGCTGTGACTCCAATTTTATCAAAGATTGTACAAATATCTTTGTACCATAGATTCCTAGAAGTAAAATTGTGAAAGCAAAAGGAACATATAAATGTTTGTACTACATAGATACTGAAACTTGTCCCTGTTCTGATATTCCAAGTCTCATTTTGGTGTGGGTATTAAGGAAGTGGGCTCAGGTGACAGACTCCTTGGATTCTTCTTTTTTTTTTTTTATTGAGACAGAGCCTCAAGCTATCCCCCTGGGTAGAGTGCCCTGGCATCATAGTTCACAGCAACCTCCAACTCCTAGGCTCAAGCGAGTCTCCTACCTCAGCCTCCCAAGTAGCTGGGACCACAGGCACCCACCACAATGCCAGGCTATTTTTTGGTTGCAGCCATCATTGTTTGGCGGGTCCGGGCTGGATTCAAACCCGCCACCTTAGGTGTATGTGGCTGGCGCCTTAGCCACTTGAGCCACAGGCGCTGAGCCGACTCCTTGGATTCTAATCCAGTTTCTTGTGGCATAAGTTATGTACCTTTGGACAAGTTACCATACCTCTCTCACTTCAATTTTCCCATCTATACAATAGGGATATACATAAATTTGTTGGAAGTTTAGGATGGACCGAGTTATGAGATAAGAGATTAGAATACAGCCTGGCATAGAATCGGTGCTAGTAAATGTTAACTGTTAACTGTTTTTCCATTATCGTTACTAATTCAGTTAACGTTATCACCTCTCGTGAAGTAACTCAGACCGAATTTGCAGGAGTCGAAACCCAGGCTCTACTTTGTTGATATATTCTGAACTTAACTACTCTATACTGTCTTGCTACCAACCTAATTCAAACCATTACTGGATCATACCTATACATGCTTCCTCCAGTACTATCCTCTCATGTTTCCTATAGTTGGACATATCACAGTATCATTTTAAAGCTCAGTAGAGATTATTGCACTCGGCTTAAAATCCTCCAATGGATTTCAATTGCTATTAGAAGAAAATCCATGTCTGTTACCTTGGCCCTCAAAGCCCTTTGTGATTCAGCTTCTATCTTCATCTGCCAACTCATCTCTTACCACTATCTTCCATGTTCACCATACGTCAGCTGCAATTGTGTGCTTTTTATCCTTTAAACATGCCAGAATATGTTCAGGTTCTTAAGCTTGCAAAGACCTGAAATATTCCTCCTCTGGTGCTTGTTTTTGTTGTTGTTGTTGTTGTTTTAGCTGCCCCGGGCCAGGTTCGAACCTGCCAGCCTCGGTGTACGTGGCCAGTGCCCTACCCACTGAGCTGTGGGCACTGGTGCTTCTATAATGGCTAGTTCTTTTTCCTCACTCAGGCCTCACTGATATGTTTTTTTGTCTATGATAGAAAGTAAGCTCCAGGGAGGAAGCTTAGATTTATTTCTGTTTTCTTACCACCTTGAGTAGGACTTAACACATAGAAGTTGCTTAATATGTATTTTATTCGTTGAATAAGTAAAAATGGCCACCAAGAAGGTTATACCAATTTATTAGCCCAAAACCAATTTCCACATCTCCAACATTGGACACATCAAACTCTTAAATTATTACCATTCTTATAAATAGAAACTGTTTTGATTTGCATTGTATTTATGTAAGTCATACTGATTATTTGATTCTATATAAGAGCTTGTTGTGTATTGAGGAAATTGGTCCTTTCACATATATATATGGTATTTCTTACCATATATATGTGGTATTTGGACTTAAGTGTTCTATATTTTAACCAATTGCTTTATACAGAATATTCTAGTTTACATATAGTTAAATTTATCTGTCATTTTCATTCTGTGCTTCATACTAAGTTTAGAAAAGACTTCTCAATTTCAAGATTATAAAACATTTATTCTTTACTCTCCCTTTTGTTCCAGGATTGTATTTGTTGCTTCTATTTAATTTTGATATATGGAGTAGTCTATCAGATGACTTGCACCATATATTTATTGAATAATATATATCCTTATTAATGATTAGAAATCCATTTTTATTTTTACTTTATTGATAGATTGATTGAGACAAGGTCTCACTCTGTTGCCCAGGCTGGAGTACAGGTGGCGCGATCATAGCTCACTACAGCCTCAAACTCCTGGGTTCAAGCAATCCTCCCAGCTCAGCCTCCTGAGTAGCTGGGACTACAGGTACATGCCACCACACCCAGCTAATATTTTCTTTATTTTGTGGAGATGAGATCTTGCTGTGTTGCCTAGACTGGTCTCAACTTTTTGGGCTGAAACGGTTCTCCTACCTCAGCCTCCCAGAGTGCTAGGATTACTGGCGTAAGCCACTGTGCCTAACCTGTATTTTTATTGTGTAATGAAAGTCCATGTGTTCGAACTATTTCTGGACTGTATTCTGCTCCATAGATTGGCTTATCCTAGCACCAGTTACCATTCAATTAAATCACCATAGCTTTATAATATACTGTTAAAACCTCTGTAAATTGATCACTTTAGGAACTGTAACAAACTGGTCAGCATACAGAGGTAGTCAACATAAGGAACTAAGCCTACTGTATTGATACGTATGTATGATACATGTCTGATCTATGAAAATTAGGTCAACTTAGGGAGGTGGTCAATTGTGGAGGTTCTATATTTTAATATTCCAGTTTAAATGGCATTAAAATGGAGAAGACAGGGCTTGAAGAAAGAAAGTCATTTTGCCAAGTGATCCTTAAAGGTTCTGAAAAAGAAAGAGAATACTGGCTTGG